GAGCACAATTAAAGATGGGTCTTCCCACCCCAGTTAAGCTAGATAATCCCTCACAGGCATGCCCAGAGGCTTGTCTCCTGGTGATGCTGCTAGATGTTGTCAACTTGACAATCATTGTTAACTATCACAGGTAGAGTGAAGGGAATTTAAGGATTACTTCAGTGTATCTGAGAATGCAGATCAGGCTCAGCCTTACTGATGTCTTCAATCAAGGTCAGTGTCTATAAAAGCCCATAGAAGAGCCGGGGGGCCCATCTAGTGGTGTGATCAGCAGGGAGAGAGGGTCATGGGACTAGATGACAGCCGTCTGCCCCAGACAGCCTGTCTGTGTTTAAAGTCCAGCACACGATTGCTTCTGCAGTACATTATGAATTAATTTCTTTCCTAAATGTTTAAAGTGGAACTCTAAGTGCTACCCCTGAGAGTACAGAGGAGTGCTTGCTCAAATAACAGCCAGTGCTGCTGGTTTAGATGAAGGTCCCCATTTATAAAAGGCTGCCTGGAAATTCACCCATGTCCATTTTCTAGGATTAAACAAGGAACAACTTTCATCTCAAAGCACTTGCAAAGTGTTTCCAGAAGTTAATGTCAGTTCTTATTTACTTTTATTTTCTAAAAGCTTTATGAGAATTTAGAAACTTTATAGCAGAATAAAAAGTAGTTCCAAGAACAATCGTGCTACTACGTCATTCAGCACATTCAATAAATCAGTGTCCAGTCACGTCAAATTCCTACTAAGGGTCAGTGGCATTGAAAGGGAAACCCAACTCTCACAATCACTGCGTGAAAGGGACAACATTTCTTGGGCTCTTATGGAGCACAGACAGTATTCCGGATGCTTCAACGCGTGCAGCACACGTCCACCGTGATGCTCCAAGGACAAAGTCTGTGTTCCTTTCCTGGTAAATTACCTTCTCTTGTTCACAGTTCCAAACATTGCAGTATACGCACACATGCATTTGTCTCGTATGTACTCATATATATACTTTATAGGCTCTGCATGTGAGTGAAAACATACAGATTTTCACTTAGTGTCATACATGATAGGTCTACACACTTGCTATGATTTTTGTGCTTTCATTTTTCCTTAGAGTTGAATAATCCTCAGTGTTGTAAATGTGCCAGATTTTCATTATCTGTTCACCTGTTGCTGGCTGACCAGGCTGTCTCCATCTCCTCGATACAGTGAACGCACAAGCAGTAAAAGACGTCTCTACAGTAAGACGTGGGCTTCTCTGGTATATGCCCAGGAGTGAGCTGGTTGGGGCCTCTGGTTCTCATGCTCGGATAATGGCCTGTGCTCTTTGGCTTAGACGAAGAGCCCCACGAATAAAAGGCTACCTGAAGAGCCACCCATTTCTGTCTTTCCAGGATTAAATAAGAAACAACTTTGATCTCAAATTACTTCACAAAGTATTTCCAAAAGTTAACATTTTCTTTTGGTCTTTTTGAGACAGGGTCTCCCTGTAGCCCCAGCTGTCCTGGAACTCCCTATGTAGACCAGGCTGGCCTTGAACTCACAGAGATCTGCCTGCCTCTGCCTCCGCCTTCCGAGTGCGAGTGCTGGGATTAAAGGCGTGCACCACCAGGCCCGCCAGTTAACCTTTTATAAAAGAAAGTGAATAAACTCTACCAGTCTTATTTTGAATTTTGCCCAACTGTTACTTTTCTGAAACATTTCTTTAGCATAGGACAGTTTTGGATTTGAATGTGCTTTATATGTTATTAGAAATTCAAGTCAAAGCACAGTGATTTGTGCAGATACAGAAGTTCTTAAATTTAATTAATGACGTGGAGACAGTTTATGTGAGAAAAGAATGGGAGAGTTGTATTCTTCCACTGACACAGAGCTCAGTGCAGAGGTCATAACATGCCATAATCAAGACGAGTTAAAAATGTTAACGATGAGGGAACTGGAGAGGTGGCTCAGTGCTTAAGAGCACTGGCTGCTCTTGCAGAGGACCTGGGTTCCATTCCCAGCACCCACATGGTGGCTCACAACCATCTGTAACTCCAGTTCCAGGGGAATCCAATGCCTTCTTCTGATTTCCTGGGGCATTGCATGACACGGGTGCACTTACATACATTCAGGCAATACACTCATACATATAGAATTAAAATAAAAAGATGTTAATGATGAGTTACTTTTTACTGGAGACAGTTTCAAAATAAAATTGAAGAGTTCCTTATTTAGAGGTACTTGTATATTAGTAAACATGGTTCATATTATTTTGAAATTCATGAAAATAAGTTTGTTTCCATTTAAACCCTTGAAATCAGATTTTAGTCATTAAATATGTTAAAGTTTGATTAGAATTGTTGACCGAGGGCTGGTGGTAGCTCAGCCTGTAGACCTGCTTATTGCCAAGCCTCATGACCTGAGTTCAGTCCCCAGAACCCACAAGGCAGAAGAGAACAAGCTCCCACAGGTTGTCCTTTGACCTCCACATGCATGCTGTGCACATATATGGACCCCGATAAATAAATGCAATTAAAATCTTTAAAAGAATTGTCAGTTGATATAATCATGAGTCAAAGCAAATCCCTTTCCTAAAAGGAAAACTTAACCATGAATGATTGTTTTTTAAATTTTCTGTGGTACTTTCATGTTGTTTTAGGAAACAAGTTTTTTCATGTTGACAAATTTAGATTTGGAGGAAAAACACAGCTCAGGAAGTAAATTGAACGTAGGCCAGAATCGACCGCTTAGAAACGAGTTTGTTAGCAGTTTGCTTTTTGATAACAATTTTGGTGAAATAGTAAAATGGTTCTGAGCTGTCCTGGTTTGGCAATTTCTGAAGATCACCGGAGGGAAGATTGCAGCACAGTTCAGGGAGTGCTGTGAACAGGAAGCCGCTTGGCTGTGGGAAGACAGATGGGGGATGGAAAGAAACTCAGCACAGGGGACTTCAGGTGAAGACATAACCTGAATTCCCCAGGGTCTCTGCAACATAAATTACACCCCAGAGACTCCTTCTCTTCCGAGTAAAGGGCATTCCATACTATACTGTCACGGGCTTTGGGCCACGGGCGTGGGGGTTATAGAACTTAGAGTAACGTAGCTTTCTCAGTGAGTCCCGCAGACCCTGTGGGGGACCCCATCTGAAGGTGTCAGAGATGAGCCAATTTCAGCAAAGCATCTGGAACTTGGAGGGGGTACATAGATTGGATAAGAAGTATTCAGTAGTTCATTTTTTATCAGGAGGCAGTGCACTAGGACCAATGTATTACTGCTGAGTGAGGGTTAATCTGTCCTCTTCCTTTGCCTTCAGTTCCTGGAGACAAGATGGTTGGGTTCTGTGGCTTTAACACCTGGTTTGATTCGGATGTGGACAGTGGTCTTAGGATGGTGCTAAGTGTTCAGGCTGACACCACCCACTGTGGCCCAGAGACCAGAGTCATGAGAATGGAATCTGGTGGGAGAAGGAGCCTGAGTGACAGGACCAGTCCTTCCATACAATCGGGGAAAAGTGAGAGATTGGCAACAAGCATGAGAGCCACAAAGAGATGGGAAGGAATGCCAGGTGCCGGGTGGGAAACTGAGAAGGACAGGAAGCTGCAGATGACTTACCCAAGATGAGCAGGCGGCCCGTGGTTCACTCTGTACTGCCAACTTGGTATCAGAGAGGAGGTGATGTTTACTGTTTATATTTGACATTTAATTTTATGTCTGTGCTTATAACTAAAAATGCTGGACATAATGGGAGTTCTTGTCCAACCAGAGAGCTGGAAGAGGGCAGTCAGTGGGATAGAGTCTCTGGGTCACGGGAAACAGTGTCTGGCCCTGCTGTCCCTGGCTGTGCTGTGCCATCCTGTGCTGCCACGTACGTGTGGAGCTGCCTTTGGCCTCAGAGGACGCTCCTCTTTTTGGACTTGATTGTCTTAAACTTCCCTGCAAGGAATGAGACAAAAGCTAATTCTAGATAATTTCTGAATTCTGTTCTAGATAACACAAGAGCCTCTCCAACCTTTGAAAAGGCCACTAATGAACTAACTTAAACATGTAGCATAAAACTGAAATGAGATGCTAGTTATACCAACAAGGAGGGCCTTAGATCAGGAAGGTCACAAAAGTTCAGGAGCCTGGGTACTTAACAACATCGTCATAAATGATTTTAGTCATATGTAGAGAAAACCTCATGTTCATCTAAGTGGCCTTCTTTCCTGCCTGTGCACCTTGGTTCTGGTCTCTTTCTTGGCCAATAAGGTCTCTTATCCCATGTTTGTGTTCCTTCAAGTCTGGTGCTTGAGTATTTCTCCACAGGTGCAGAACCAGTCACTCTCCAATGGCACGGTGTATTGGTGTATTGTCTTTATCGGAGCATGTGTCTGTTCTGTATTAACATTCCTAGTTTAGGAATTATTATTTTTTTTTGCTCTTTTTGAGACAGGGTCTCCCTGTAGCCCCAGCTGTCCTGGAACTCACTATGTAGACCAGGCTGGCCTTGAACTCACAGAGATCCACCTGCCTCTGCCTCCTGAGTGCTGAGATTAAAGGCGTGCCCTTTTCTCATTCCACATGAATAGTTAAGTTCATCAAGGACTAGGGAGATGTCATGTCATTCTGGGTGAGAGTGTTGAGGCCAGTGGGATGCTGGTGGGGCCACACACAAGCTGGGGACCAGCTCCTCCATTCTGTCAGTAGCACACTGCTGGTACAAAGCCAACCTCTACATCTTATAGCACAGAAACCAGCAAACCTTCTAACTGAGGTCTCCCCACTTAGGAGTCAGTTGCTGGAAATTCATCAGTATACCCCTGCAAATATATCCTTTTGCACTATAAAAGCTACTAAAAGTAAACCAAACCTGTTGACATGAAGGCTGTTTTGATACAGAAAGAACATCAATTTGATTTGCAAGATTATTTTTCTTGGTGGAACTCCTGGGAAGATTGTTAGTTTCGCATGTGGTTATTACTGTGAGCTATTATCAAGGAGCATTATAAATGTGTCATTGCCTTAACATATGAATTCTTTTTCCCTAATATTTGACTTCTAGGGTGGAGTTTTGGTAAAAATTACAGAAACTTGCCCCCCTTTGAACTGCTCTGAAAAGGACCACATTCTTCCGGAGAGTCAGTGCTGCAGGGTCTGTAGAGGTGAGTGGGCTGGGGTAGAGGTGGGTGGGGTGGGTGGGTGTGTGGGCGTGGGTGGGGGGCTGGCGGTGGATGTGAAGGTTTGATGAGCAGTGTCTGTCTGCTTTCAGAAACGTACAGATCCTACTTACCTTTCTCAGAGAGCTTCTCCTCAATTGCAAAAGTGAGAATAATAATAGTATCTACTTCATAAGACTGCTGTGAAGATTAAATGGAGTAATGCGTGAGCTCCAAGCAAAAGGCCCAGCATGAGATAAACGTTCAATAAACAGCAGTTCCCATATTAATGCTAATGATAGTTCCTGTAATAACAGCCATTATCACCATTATTACATTTTCCTCATGAGTGGGATTGAGAAATATTCTTTACAGCCTCGTCCCTGGGCCAGTTCTGTCACAGAGAATGGCACATGGTGTATCCTTATCCACAGAACAGACTCCTAAGAAACTTAAAGCAACTTTCTTAGGAAGAGAGCTTCAAGTAAGCGCTATTTGATTGCTAATTAACTCCTAGACAGAAATGGTTTTGGTTTCTCTTCATTACCAAATTGATTCTTATTTCTACAAAGGCCCCTTGGGTAGTGCTTCTTTCCTGAAGTTTTTACCCAGAGAGAGTTGGATGGATTAGGAAATCTAGAATGTATTCAAAATCTTAAAAAGCTAATTCTGTTAAAATCATAGCTTTATTTGGAAATGTACCTATCCCAAGTCCCTTACATTCTCAAATACGCAGTAAGCTGCATCCTTGCTGACTGGGTTGAGGAAGACCCAATGCTATTAAAAGTTTAGCTCAGGTAACTTCACATTTTCCTTTCTATCTTTTTTCTAGCATAGGTCAACAATTTTTTTTAAATATAAAGAGCCACAAAATGAATATTTTTTCTTTTGTGGATCACGTTGCTGTTACATCTACTAAGCTTTACTCCCGCAGCACCAAAGTAAGCTGAGGTACAGGTACATGAGGTGGACAGCTGTGTCCCAATAAAAGTTTATTTACAGAAACACGTAGCAGGCACAGTTTGCTGACTCCTTAACTAGCACCTTCTGATATGTAAAAACACATAGTTTATTGTGGTTTATTATGAGGCTTTTTTCTCCTGGTACTTGGTCAAGAGAGACTTTTGCTTTGAAACACTTCTTAGGAAACCTCAGTGCATTTTAAGAGTGACCCTTAGAATCAGTGACCTGCCTGCTGTGCTGTCAGAGTGGGGGTCCCAATTTATTTGTGGGGAGGTGAACAAATCTCTCTCCACTTCAGACAGGACACTGGGGACACATTAGGAAACGACTCTCCTTTTGTCTGTCTTGGTGAGTGAACCCCTCAGTTTATTGGAGTTACTTTTTGGAGTGACTGACAGGAAGCTCTGTCACTTCAACACCTGCCCCGTGGTGGGTGACACAACTCCAGGTACATGCCTGTGCGTGCTAACCAAGTCTCAGGCAGCTCTGCTGCGGCATGCCCTCTCCCCAGGCAATTGTTTACTGCCCGTGTGGTACTCGGGAAGGCGTCTGTGAATCTTGTTTCATGAATTTTTTGAGCTTCGTGAATTTAGTTAACTTCTGGAGCACTTTTCTTTTCTTTGATTTTTTTAATTGATGTGTGTGTGTGTGTGTGTGTGTGTGTGTGTGTGTGTGTATTTCATACAGAACATCCCAAAGAGTCTTATTCATCTTTATACCCGCATTGCAACTGGCACCATCGTATATCCTCCCCACCGTCCCACTGGAGCCCATATACTCTTTTATCCCCATTACTGTCCACTGTGTTGTTGGCACCCCAGTCTTTCCCCAGTGCTTGTCCATCTGCTGAGTCTAGTCAGCCTATCTAGAGTTCCTTGTTTTAGGAAGATCAGCTTTTCCTCATTTAGCAGCAATCAGGGGCCAACATTCCTTTAGATAAGATTGGGGTCTGCTGTTCATTTTCCCAGTTCAGTGCTGGGTTACTGTCTGGGATTCTCTTGGGCCACCCTGGCCAGTAACTCAAAGGAAGGTATCTCCTGTCTGGCATTGTTTCTTGTTATGTAGCCTTTAGCTATACACATGGACTCTTAAAAAAAATATATATATATATTCACCACTTTAATCTTTGGTTATACTTTGCTTTGGGGTGTTTAAGGTCGTTTGAGGATCTGTTCCTCAGGAGTCACATGGGCATGGGAGGAGCCCCTGGCTCCTTTCTTTTACTAGTTCCATCTATGTGAAGATAAGTCAAGATCGTGCTCAACCATGGCCGGCTTCACTTGGAATCATGGAGGAAATGTTTCCTCTGTGTTGACCCTCCTCTTTGTAGACCAGACACTGGTTCAAGTCCATCTGGTGGGGTCTCCATGGCTTCCTTGATCAAGAGGACAGGTGACTAACTAGGTGACTCACCACAGTTACAGGACATTTGAGAGATGGTTGTAGTCCCCTGGAACTTAGTTGACTTTGAAGGGCAAGGAGTAAAAACTATCCCTTAAGTCCCTCTGACCAGATTAGTATAGGCTTCAAAGTATGGATGTTAAATGTTCAGGAAAGTTAGTTCCATCAGTCTGGTACTTTCAGGTACCATGTGCTATGTAGATAAAGCTTGGGCAGAAACCAAACATGCCCAGATAAACCTTGACTAGACATATATTTTGTTCCTTGAGTTAGTTGTATGTATAATTTGTCAGTAGGTTATTGGACTAATATGGTTCCCTCTGTTTTTTTTTTTTTAAACTAGGCATTATTTATCTCTCACTGTCTAATTCTTACACCATGGTTTCCCCATTTAAGGTGCTCTCATTTTTCCCATTTCTTCTGTTTCTCCCTTAATAACACCCTTCTCCTATGGTCCCACCTCTCTTGAGCTCCTTCTTTCCCTTTATCCCCAAGGTTCCTTGTATAACCCTCCTTCCCTCCTCCCATTTAAATAACCCCATTTTTATCCCTATCTCCCTTATTTACACCTGTTTCCTACTGTTCTTCTCTGTTTCTTTCTTTTCCTTTACCACCCTGGCTCCTTTCCATTATCCTGGTTCCTGTAGTTATGTCTGGATGTATACTCACTTATAAGGATTTGGTGCTAGGATCCACATATGAAGGAGAACATAGGTCTTTTTTTTTTTTTTTTTTTTTTGGTACTACTATACTGCTAGTTTTCTTTGTCAGCTGTATTTGCATTATTCTCTCATTTAATCATTGAGTCTTTTTCAAGTTTTCTCTCTTCAC